GTGCGCCAGCCTGGCCCGGCTGCACAGCGGCCACGGCCAGCACGGCAGGGCCGTCGCCCTGATGGCGCAGGCCGCGGAGGCGGCCGCCGGGGCCGGGAGCCGCCTGGCGCTGGACTACCTGCTGGAGCTCGCCTGGCTGCACGTGCTCGGCGGCCGGAGCCCGGCGGCCCTGGACGTCCTCGAGTGCGTGCGGGACGGGGCGGTGGCCGGCACGGAGCGGGAGGGCGTGATGGCCAACATGGCGGCCGTGGCGCTGACGAGGACGGGCAGGACCCGGCAGGCGGCCGAGGGCTACTACCGCGCCCTGCGGGTGGCGCGGGGCCGGGGCCGGCGGAGGAACCAGGCGGTGGCGCTGGCCAACCTGGGGGCCCTGTGCCTGCGGGCCGGCGCCGGCGGCCTGGCCCAGCACTACTGCCGGGAGGCCGTGAAGCTCTTCTCACGGCTGCCAGGCGGGGAGGGCGGCCAGGACTTCACCTGCGTGCTCCTGCGGCTGGGCCGCCTGTGCGCCCGCAGGGCCCACGCCTGGCAGGCCAAGTGCTACTACGAGTGGGCCTTTCTGGTCGCCGCGGAGATGGACCACCTGGAAGGTGAGTGGCGGCCACGCTGGCTTCGCGGAAAGAAAACGCGACTTCTCCCCATGTCTGTCCAGAGCGCGCCCGGGGCTCTCGACTCTCCTGCCGTCGAGAGTGTCGAATGGCGGGAACCCGCAGGTACTTGCGGGTGCCTTCGAGGCCGGCTGCGGGGCGGCTCTCGTGGGAGCCCCCCCGCCAGGCTCTGTGCAGGCTCCAGCCACAAACGGCACCCGTGCGGTCCTCACGGGGGGCCGGCCGCCAAGTGTGGGAAACAGATGCCCGGGTCACGGGAGCCGCAAACGGGGGTATTCATTGTGACGACAGGGGCTCCCGGTCCCGACTAGTGGGACCTCCGTGTGGAGGAGGGTTTAGCCAAGCATAGGATGGAGGGCAGGCAGACGGTGAAGCCCGTGCAAAGGCCCTGGGGAAAGCTGGGCCATGCAGGGAGATGCAGAGTTTGGGGTGGGTGCCTCGGGTGGTGGGTGGTGAGCACCTAGGCTGGGGACGCTAGGCAGGGATCAGGGACCCCAGGCTGCGGTTTGGCATTTTTCCCGAGAGCCTTGGGGAGCCGTCGAGGGTTGTAGAACACTCGGAAGCTCACGGAGCCTGGAAGGGGACCCTGTGGATCTCCAGAAAGAAGCAAGAGCTGGGTCCCCAGATGTGCCCGGTGGCCTCGGGCGGGTCCTGTCTGTGCTCACAGGCCTGTTGTCTTCTCTGCCCCATGCTGAACCTCGAGGAGCCTGAGGGCCACCCTGCTCCTTTTTGAGTTGGCTTTGGCAGCTTGGGTCTCCCCAGGTTCATCCGTTGTATCTGGGTTGCCCTTTGTTGGCATAAACCCTTCTGTAAGGCCGGTGCCACGGCTAATCCCAGTCATTTATGCCTTTTCTTCTTAGTCTGGCTGCAGATGAGTCCGTTTTGTGAATCTTCTCAAAGATCCGTCATTCAGTTTCATTTGTTTCCCTCTCTTGTTTTTTCGATTCTCAACGTCACTATTTTGTCTTTACTCTTGAATCTTTATTTTTCCTTCCTTTTGCTCGCTTTGGATGTAGTTACCTCCTGTCTTTCTCGTTCCTTAAGGCGGAAGCTTAAACTTTGCGTCTGAAAATTTTCTTCTTTTCTGAGGTAGGCATTTACGGCCAGAAAGTCCCTCTAAACACGGCTGTCCCGCATCCCGCAGGGTCAGGGTCTGCCCTGCGTTTACTTCCACTCATCTCAGAGCACCTTCTGGTTCCCGTCGCGATTTCTCCCGCGACCCCCGGCCGTCTGGCAGTGCGTTTTTCACGTCCACGTATTCGTGGATTTCCCAAACTCCCGTCCGTTACCGATTCCTGGTTTCATCCCGCCGTTGCCGGAGATCATGCTCTGTAAGACGTCAGGCTCTCACATTTACTGAGCGTCGCCTGGTGATTCGGCGACGGAGAACGCGATATGTGCGGTCTCCCCAGTCACCGTGTTGTTCTGATCTTCTGTGTCCTTGTCGGTGGTCTGCTTGGCGGGGAGCCCATCCGGCCGTTCTCGGCCGGAGCCTGGCTTCGCGAGGGAGCGCTGGCTCCGGAACGCCGGGAGCTGGGTTTGAATCGCAGCCCCACTGCGTGCTGTGTGCCCCAGACTCAGTGTGCCCGCCTGCGGCATGGGCAGCCCGGTGCTCCCTGCCTCGTCGGCGTGGGGTGAAGGCAGCCCCTGTCCGTCACCCCAGGAGGGGTTTTGTGAAGCAGAAGCAGGCAGCCCGGTGCGGTGGGAGAGGCTGGCCAGGACCCCCGGGCCCGGGACGTGTAGACGCGGTCAGTGCCGTGTCTGTGACGTGCCCCAGCGGGCTCATCACGGCGTGCTCTTGGCTGTGCGGCCCGGGGCGGATCGCGTAGCCGGTCTGGACTCAGTTTCCCCGCTGCACCGACCCCACTAGAGTCATGGAGGAGGCAGGCACACGGCAGGGGCCTTCAAACCCTGTAGATGTCACCGCCGTGCGTGACGGCGATGCCTTCCTCTCGTTCTCCTCGCCCAGGCCAGCTGTGTGCCGTCCAGAGGCTTTGTCACTTCTACAGCACGGTCATGCCCAGCGAGGCCCAGTGCGTCGTCTACCACGAGTTCCAGCTGTCGCTGGCCCGCAGGGTGGCGGACAAGGTGCTGGAGGGGCAGCTCCTGGAGACCATCAGCCGGCTCTACCTGTCCCTGGGCACCGAGCGGTGAGGGCCGGTTCCGCGGGCGGGGTGGGGAGGACCCCGGCCCTGGTCCTGGGGTGGCCCCTCCTCAGGGACCACTTCATTCCTTGATGTCAGATAAGCTCCGAGCTGGCCGGCCTGGGGGTGTCCCCAGCAGCGCTCGTGGCACAGGGTTCCCCTGAAGGGTGTCCCCTCGTCTCCACGTACACACCACAGTGGAGGCAGACTGTGCGTTTCTGGGCCATTCTTCGTGACACAGTGGCTTTTGTAAGCTGACCTCTGCCTGCCCCGAGTGTCCACCAGCCAGCCCAGCTCTGGGCCAGGCAGTCTGTTCCCAGCTGTCCCCTCAGATGTGAGGACAGTGGCCACGTGTACCTGAAGGATTCTCATCCGCAGGGAAATACCTGGCTGTCCCACCTACTTCTTCGGGGCAGGGTTTCAGGGTCCTCTGTCCCCTGTGGCGCCCACACTGACCATCCCGATCAGATGGACGGTCCCGGGAACGTCACTGGTTACACCCCTCCCGGCTGGGGACTCACTGAGAGGCAGGGAAGGAGCCAGGTTTCCACAGGACTTCGGGGGCCTCCGCCCCTCCCACCTGGGCCTCAGTTTCACAGCAGGACCGACGGGCAGTGACCTTGATCACTGCTTCTCAAATTGGGGGAGAATATCGCCCGGGAGCTCGCTGCAAAAGCACATCCTCGGGCCCCACCCCAGACCTGCTGCGGCAGAAACCCTGGGAATAGGGCCCCTCGGCCACACTGGGGTTTGAGAACCACTGGCCTAGGTTGTCTCTCAATTTCTGCCCACACACACGTTCCCCGCTGCACCCAGAGGGGTCGCGCCTCTGTCCGGGGAGTGGGGCAGGGACAGAATGGCCCGCTCCCTGTCCCCATTTCCTTCCAAAAGGCCTCCCTTACTTTCGCCGGGCGAGCCCAAGCCGGCAGACGGGCACCAGGAAGAGCCTGGTCTGCTCCCCCGGGGACAGCCGGCCCGGGAGCACGCGCTCTGACCCCCCTCTCTAATCCCAGGGCCTACAGGTCCGCCCTGGACTACACGAAGCGCAGTCTGGGCATTTTCATCGACCTGCAGAAGAAGGAGAAGGAGGCGCACGCGTGGCTGCAGGCGGGGAAGATCTATTACATCCTCAAGCAGAACGAGCTGGTAGACGTGTACCTCCAGGTGCTGGGGCGCCCTGTCCTTCATCCCCTCCCCCTGCGGGGCCCCCGCTGCGTGCCAGCTGCCTGTGAGGCCCCCACCATGGACCACCACCCCTGGACCCCCACCCCTGAACCCCCAGCCCTGGATTCCCAGCCCTGGACCCCTACCCCTGAACCCCCAACCCTGGACCCCACTCCTGGACCCCCACCCCTGAACCACCAGCCCTGGACCCCCAGCCCTGGACCGCCACCCCTGGATCCCCCAGCCCTGGATTCCCAGCCCTGAACCCCTACCCCATGAACGCCCAGCCCTGGACCCCCAGCCCTGAACCCCCAACCCTGGACCACCACCCCTGGACCCCCACCCCTGAACCCCCAGCCCTGGACCCCCAGCCCTGAACCCCCGGCCCTGGACCGCCACCCCTGGACCCCCCAGCCCTAGACCCCCATCAGCAGGGGGCGGGGACCGGGGGG